TTATTTTGCTTATTTGCCTATATATATATATATATAGATAGATAGATAGATAGATAGATCTTTTGTCTATTTTTAAAAGGTTTATCTCATTGAGTGGGAAGAGTTCTTTATATATATTACAGATGTAAGTCTTTTGTCTTGAAAGACTTGTTGTCTTTTAGTTTTCTCAATAGTATTTTTTGAACAGTAAAGTGACTAATTTTGAAGACCAGTGTATTGGTAAATGTTTTTTCTTTTCTTGTTTGCACTTTCACTATCTGATTTAAGAAGTCTTTTGCCCAAACCAAAGAGCACCAAGCTTTTCTTGTATGTTGTCTTTTAGAAATTTTATGTTTTAGCTCTTGAGTTAAACCCCATATAGTATGAGTGTCAAGGGTCAGGGTTTTAGTATATTTTGTTTTGCATATGGCTATTCAGTTGTTCAAGCACTATTTATTGGAAAGATTATCTTTTTTCTGTTGAGCTGCCTTAGCACCTTTGTTGATAACCATTTTATCACATGTATAGATTTGCTTGTGGATTTTCTGTTCTGTTTCATTAATTGTCTTATTTTTATGTCAGTACCACACTTTCTTGATTGCTGTTGCTTTATAAATCTTGAATGGGTTCTTTTCAAAGTTTTGACTTACTTGTATTCTTTGTATTTCCACATGAAGTTTAGAATCAGCTCATCAATTTCTACAAAAGCCTGCTGGAATTTTGGTTGGGATTGTATTGAATCTATAGCCCAATTTGGGAAGAATTGAAATCTTAACATATTCAGTCTTTTGACTCTGGAACACAGTATGTCTCTTAACCTATTTAGGTATCTTTAATTTTTCTCGGCAACATTTTATAGATTGAAGTGTTGAGGTTTTGTACATCTCTTGTTGAATTTATCCCTAAGAACTCCATTTTTCTGCTTCTTGTACATGATATTTTTTAAATTTCAAATTCTGAGCAGTTATGTAACTATATAGAAAAGCAGTTCTGTTTTCATACTGACTTTATCCAACCTTACTAAATTAACTTATTATTTTTGGTTGTTTTATTATATATTTTATATAATTCATCAAAAAATTGTCTTGTGAGTAGAGATTTACTTCTGTTTTTCAATCAGCATTTCTCCTCCCTCCCTCCTGCCCTCCTCTCTCTCCCTGGCTCCCTAAACCTCCAGTATCCTGTGAATAGAAGTGATGAGAGTAGGAATCCTTGCCTTGTTCCCAATTTTGAGGGTTACGGGGTACGTTCAGTCTTGTGCCTGTAAGTATCATGTTAGCTGCAGTTTTTCCTAGGTACCCTACATCAGGTTGATTCCCTTCTAGTCATAGTTTGCTTGGAGTTTTTATTGGGAATGGACACTGGATTTTGCAGCAGCTTTTTCTGTATCTTTTGTGATGATGGTGAATAGTGTTGATTGATTTTCTAATCTTGCATTCTTTTGAAGCTCCATTTATTTTTGCATCTGTAGGTGAAATACTGCTCTGTAGTTTTCTTATGTCTTCTTTTCTGGTAAGGCTAGCTTTATATAACAGATTTTTCATGTCAAATGTAGCATTCTTTTTCTACTATAGTACTGAGATAACCCAAGAAACAGCATGGTTAGTTGCATATTAACATGTTGAAAATCTCTGGGTAATGTAATTGTGCTTCTTAGATGCATTTGTGTTTGAGTTGGCAATGGCTGAATTACTATGTCCATTCGTTGAATTCTTGATTTGAAAATAGATTTTTTTTTTTTTTGCGCCGTACTGGGGCTTGAACTCAGGGCCTACACCTTGAGCTGCTCCACCAGCCCTTTTTATGTTACGTATTTTCAAGTAGGTAAGGCTAGCTTTATATAACAGATTTTTCATGTCAAATGTAGCATTCTTTTTCTACTATAGTACTGAGATAACCCAAGAAACAGCATGGTTAGTTGCATATTAACATGTTGAAAATCTCTGGGTAATTGAACTCAGGGCCTACACCTTGAGCTGCTCCACCAGCCCTTTTTATGTTACGTATTTTCAAGATAGGGTCTCACGAACTATTGCTTGGGCTGGCTTTGGACCGAGATCCTCCTGATCTCTGCCTCCTGAGTAACTAGGATTACAGATGTGAGCCACAGGCACATGGTAAGACTAGATAACTTTTAATACAGACTAGAGGGCTGGCTGAATGGCTCAAATGGTAGAGTACCTGCCTAGTAAATGTGAGGCCCAGAGTTCAAACCCTGGTACCACCAAAAACAAACAAGCAAACAAACAAACAAAACCCATAAGAGTCATAAAATGTATGGAAGGGATGGTAGAGATTAGTTACCATGATCAGGTGTTAAAAGAAACTTGATGGTTGACAAAAACTGTAAATTTCCTGTGATTGATCATGCCCATAAACAGTTACTATCTAGTATCTTGTTTCTTTTCTTTTAGTGTCCAGAAATAGTCCATTTTAGGCTTTCCAACTTATACATACCATAGATTCCTAAAAGGCCATTCTGAAAGCAAAGGTGACTAGTATTAGCCATATTCTTGGTTTCTGACTACAATTGAGAAGAGTTAATCAGTCGGTACGTCTTTGGGGTATTACATACTGACAGGCCGTACTTGTGTCTAACTTGTTCTTAGGTAGATAGGGGTGACCCTCCATGCAGAGTAAGTCTTTCTCTCTCCTCTCATCCATGAGCCATGGCTAGATTCTCAGAAGAGCCCTGTATTGGTTTGAGTTCCAGGGTTTTCACCAGTCTAGTAGACAAGTGTTTTTTAATCTCTTACCTGCTAAATTTCATTTTAAAATGAAACTCAAAAGTGGAAGCCCAGATTAGAAAACTGATAGAACTGTGATTCTATTTGAGTAATTTATTTTGTAGAGTCAATACTTTACGTTGTATATTTAACGAGAAATAAAGTTGTGGTGAGTACAAATTAATATCAAGGTTATGCATAACAGGTCATTTGAATCTTCTTCAGCAACCAGTTTATTTAGTTGAATATTAGAAGTAGAAAAACCTGCCCTGACTGATGAATCTATTCCATGTATTTTTTTTTAAACACCTTTCCTTGCAACCTCAGAGTATTCTTGAAGTAAAACTTACTTAGAAATTGAACATGAAAGAGTAGGGAATTGGTTTAATAGCCTAATCACTTTAATATCTAATAAACTCACATTTTAAAAATCAGACAAGGGGAGAATGTTTAAACAAATGCTCAACAGTTGTCTTGATGAGAGTCTTTATAAGTTGCTTTATTGATTCTTGTCATGTGCACAGAAGGTTAGATATGTCCTCACGTGTCTGTCACTCAGCTGCCTGTAACACTTGCGCTATAGTAGTGCCTTTGCTTGTACTACATTTCATGAGAAGTATGTGTGTTCCTGGATTGGGATTGGAGATGGGAGGTAGAACAAAAGACAGTGTGCACAGTTACAAACCTTCCTAATCAGTTGCATTTACCAGAAGTTCAGATGTATACACAGAGATAGCAGGAGAAACTTTATTCTGCCATGTGCATAAAAATTACTCAGCCTGGCTGCTCAGGTATCTCCATTGTGTTAATAGTTGGTATAGAACTCTTTTGAATGAGTACATTGCTTTGTTACAGTTAAGAATATTTCTTAAAAAAGCTATTTTCCATATTGAAATGCTTGTGGAATTCCTGAAGCACTTCAGGATGTGAGGGTTCTTTGAGACTGGGATTCCATGTAAGAATGTTCCCTTCAGTTTCTCTTCCATTCTTATTTGAAACCAGAGTCCAGTAGAGGGGGAAATACAGAGATCCTTATTACAACGTGTTAAGGTTCATGAGCCTTATAATAATTACTATAGAAGGCAGTCAGAAGCAAAAATGGACACAAAATTTACTGTATATACGAGATATATGCATAATTCACAATATATTACAATTTTTAAAATGTGTTAGAAACACCTGCTTTGTTTTCACCTTTCACATATTCTTGTTATGTGAGCATAAATTCGTATCATTTGAAGGCCTAAACTGACAAAAATGAATTCCTAAAACTGATCCAAGTTTTATCTGAAAGAAAGATAGTGTGGTACCTTATACTAGTTTAAGTGCAAGCACACACGCATAGCACTAATGTGCTTCAGGAGAGTCTTCTCATGTGATCACTATGATGTTCACTCTTACTTTCATTTCTGCACAGCTTTCATTGAGTTTTTCTGACACTCTTACTTTCTATTTAGTAAAATTGCAAAATGTATAATTGAAGGCGATTTAAAGATGTGTAATTGAAGGTGATTTTAAAGATAATTCAGTTTTCCATTTTACTGAAGTTCACAGTGAAATAATCTTAATTAGAGGCTGTCCCCAAAAGAGTTTGTGTGTCTTCATGTACCCAGATTTTATAAAAATCACAAAATATATTTTCCTATTTGTCCTCTTTGGTTCTAGAATATATAGCTGCCTCTATAATTGTAGACTTTCAATGGGTAGAAAAATATTTGTGTTATTTTAGTAACAATACCTATACACATAGATAGAGATACTTCTATTGTTAGGATTCTGTTGTTGAGACAGTGTAGACTAGAAAAGAACATGGGCTTTGAGGCCACAGATCTGATTAAAACTTTAATCTGGCTGCCTACCAGCTGTGTGATCGTGGTACGTTACCTGGCCTCTCTGAGCCTCATTTTCTTCACCTACATAGTGGGGCACTAGCATATCCAAGGTTCTTTTTGCATATTAGGAGTTCAGTCAAGTGTAGCCAAATAAAGTGGTTTAAGTCATGAAAGATAACGGATAGATATGTTATTGCCTGACATCTGACAGGTAAAGAGAAAAAAGGACTGAGCAGAGACAGTGTGGAAGAACTGGAAAAATGGAGAATTACAGTGATAGGAAATAGTTCAGCTTGAATTCAATTCAGTTCTAGTATTTTTCCTCTTCATTTTAGCATATATTGAACTTGAACAGTTTCTTCTGTGATCAAATTGTGTTTACATTTGTTGGTGTCTTTTTCATTTGTTTTTATTAGTGTTGCTGTTCTCTGAGAAATCACACACATTTTCATTTAATTTACAGGTGGCCGTTTGTTGCATCTGCTTTTTTGTTATTCTTCCTCTAAATCTTGTTGGTACAATACTTGGCCGAAATCTGTCAGGTCAGCCCAACTTCCCTTGTCGAGTCAATGCTGTGCCTCGTCCTATACCGGAGAAAAAATGGTAAAGAGAATGCTAACTCTTACGTTATTGTTTCTCACAGTATGTAAGTTCTTAAGGGTATGTGTACATGTAACTTGAAATTCTTATGTACTTAACAAGAATGACTGTCATAAGTTTGAGCTTAAGAATTTGATGATTTAAATTTTTCCATCAGCCTGAATTGTCATAGTTGTAGTGAGTTATATCCTGATTTTACTTTCTCAATATTGGTACCATTCACAGACAAGTCAAGTGCTTTGATAAGTATACTAGTGTGTAGAGGGGTGGGAAGTAAAGCTTCAATGGTTTTTTTAAGCCTGCAGGTCAAATATGACCTGCTGCCTGTTTTGGGGAATAATGTTTTATTGGAATACAATCATGGCCACTCATTTACAATTGTCTGTGGCTATCCCCCTCCTCCATTTAGAGTTTGAACTCAGGCTCTTGAGCTTACTAGGCAGGTGCACTACCACTTGAGCCATGACCCAGCACCTTTTGCTTTTAGTTTATTTTTCAGGTAGGGTCTCGCTTTTTCCTGGGCTGACCTCAGAACACAATTATACTTGGGATTACAGACGTGTACCACTATGCTTAGCTTTTTTGTTGAGATGGGGCCTCACAAACTTTTTGCCAGGGCTTGTCTGGAATCCTGATCCCCTTTATCTCCATCTCCTGAGTAGCTGGGATTACAGACATGAACTCTTTAACAACTGGCCTGTCTCTGGCTGCTTTTACTATGCAGCATCAGAATTGACAGAGCAGTAGTTGTGACAGAGAACATATCACCTATAAAACCTGAAACATTTACTATCCAAAGCGTTATAGAAAAATCTGCCATCCCTTGACTTATAATTTCTTTTTCTTTCTAGATGTTTTATTATTCCAAATAATACTGACACATTTATAGCCAGGTACATCCACTAATTGAGAGAGATAATTAGGGTTGAGACCAATTAGAATTTTCAGGCTTATCTTCTTTATCTTCACTTTGGAATATTGTGGAATTTCTCAAATACACATGTGTCTCGCATTTTATATCAAGAATGTGTTCTGGAGAACCTTCTATGACCAAGGATGGTAAGCATTTCTGCAAACAACTGGACAGGTGCTTCTCTGGAGTAGTGTAGATATGGATTACATTTTATTTGAGTAGTAGCCTTGAAATTTTGATTCTGAGTGGGTTTTTAACTTGTAGTTTTGAATTCTGAACATAAAATATCCTTATATTTTTTACTTCCCATGTTTGGGATGCAAATTTAAATAAAATATGAACTTGCAGTGCATATATTTTGCTTTTGGGTTAGTGCATGGCATATTCTGCCGGTTTATGCTGTTCTGCTTTCGTTCTTTATTTTTCTGGTTCTCAGCAGCAGACAGCATAACCAGTCTTACTGCACATGCATGACCCTTGCCATCCATAGCAACAACTATGCATGTTTATAAGAAGGGATGTGCATTGGTATAAATACAACCTAGGCCAGAAACTTTGTATAGATGTTTTCCTGGAGTTGGGAGGACCGTGATCGGTTTAGTCTCAGGGATTGGTCACCAGCTTTTCTTCCCTTAGATTTGTGCTTACCAGAGACTTGGGCTAGAGATTTTTTGAGTTCCTTTTTTTTTTTTTTAACTACTCTTTTCCCAAATCAATATTAAGATTCTGTTGATATTCTTACATTCACCTCATTTCTGGAGAGGGAAAGCTTAAAGGAAAAACCTATTCAGGAACCACAAAAGTTTCTCCAGGTCACTGTGGTACTGAAGGAGAGGAGTGAAGCTGGTGTGTGGTTTTTGTTTTGTTTTGTTTTAAATTGGTGATACTAGAGAGTTTATATTCAGAGCTAGACAGGTGCTGTACCACTTGAGCCTTGCCCCAAGCCCTTTTCTCTGTGGGGTACGGTCTTGTGTTTTTGCTACAGTCAGGCCTTGGACTGCAATCCTCCTACCTATGCTGCCTCAAGCTGGGATTACAGCTGTGTAACACCATGTCAGTTTTTTTTTTTTTTTTTGAGATGGGGTCTTGCTAACTGGCTGGGCTGGCCTTCAACTTTGATCCTTCTCTACTTCTCAGGTAGCTGGGATAACAAGCCTGCAGTCTTTTGATTGTTTTAATCACATAAGAACCAAAATCTGAGCATTAGATCAGGCTTTTATTGAATGTGTCACTATGGACTGGTTACCTTTAACCTCTGTGGGTCTTAGCTTCCTATAAAAGAAGGAAAAGAGACGAAATTATTTTTAAGGTTTTTTTTTTTTTTTCTCCAGCTCTCAACTTTTTAAAATTTTCCCTTCAGATTTTTAGCTTGTTCATCCCAGAGAAATTAGTTTAGTATATTTCCTGTGTCAAGTACTGTGCTAGGTACTGGGAATGCATAAATGAGTGGCTTCTGCTTACTAGTGTTAGATCCTTGGGAATATGATGTAGGCAATTAGATAGTGTGGGACTGCTGCTGTGGAGCCGTGTTCAGGAGGCAGCAAGAGAACAGGAATGAGCCACCTCTTCTTGGGGGCCTCAGGGAGGCTTAAAAGGGGACACATGAGCCACTGCTTTCAGGAAGAGAAGTAGGAGATGAGAGAAGGCATTGCAGATGGAGAGTTACTGATTGCAGTCAGGAAATGTTTGCTGAGTGAAGTGTGAATTTTATTTCTTTCCTGGACCCTATTATAAATCAGAACTCATAATACCTTAATTATGTAATTCACTGGAGAAGGAATTACAGAGCTAAGGAAAGAGTGGGCAAAGAGATAACAGGGCACGATTTATGAACAGTTATTTCACATAGGGGTCTTGAGACTTTATTTTCTTCTTTTTTTCTTTTTGTGAGTAAATACCTATAAAGTTCTTAGAAGTCACTGAGAGGTGGTATAATAGGAGTGAACAAAGTCTTTCTCATGTTCTCAGTGGCAATAATTTGTGTTCCTCAAATACTTGTCTCAGGTTTTAATATTGGAAAGAATATTGATTATAACCTGTTACTAATATATTGTGCCTCTTTGGATTTTGTTTTTCTTTTTACTAGTTTGTTTTTGTCCTTTAGAGATAATTGTTAAAGTAGTAAGTATTCTTTTCTATTATTAGGATTTATATATAATAAAATCATATTGGAAGCTTACTGTTAATTTTAATATTTTCCAGGTTTATGGAGCCTGCAGTTATTGTTTGCCTGGGAGGAATTTTACCTTTTGGCTCAATCTTCATTGAAATGTAAGTTTTGGAGGCAGTTTTTCATTTTGAGGGATTTGGTTATAAGAGAATTTGAGTTAAGGTAGGTGTGGAATCTCCAGACAAGGCAGCATCTATATTAGTCGGCTTTGCATCGCTATAACAAAATCCCTCAGGCAGCTTTCAGGTTTATTTAGTTTACAGTTTGGGAGGTTCAGTATCAAGATTGGCAGTTCCATTGGTTTGGCCTCTGGTGAGGGTGGCACTTTATGACAGGAGCGTGTGTGGCTGGAGCGTGTGGTGACCAGCCTTTGGTCACGTGCATGATTATGCAATCACTAGTTTTTATTGTATGTTTTGAATACCTGAAGATCAAAGAAACTAGATAGAGTAGTCCATTATCTATTAGTCAGTGTAGACACTGACCTCTTTTCTTTCCTTTCTTTTTTTGCTACTGGTAATTGAACGCAGGACTTTATGCATGTTAGGCAAATGCTGTTACTACTGAGCTATATTGCCAGCCTTTGGCTTTTTTTGAGACAAAGTGCTGCTATGTAGCTCAGGTTGGCCTCAAACTTGAGATCCTGCTGCTTCAACCTCCCAAGTGCTACAATTGCAGGTGTGTGCCACCATGTCCTCCTTCCCTGACATCTTTTGATGCAGTCATTCCTAGGTTCCTTCCCCAGTGGTCTTCAGGAGTGCTGGAAGTATATGTATTTGAGGGGCATGGGGTAGGATATATGCCACCTTACACCCCCTTACTATGCTTCATATCTGCATTATTCATGACCATTGCAAAATAAAAGCCTTTCTTTTCTCTGCCTATGGCCCCATATTCCTTGATAGGAATGTTCTTTTTATTTTAGTCAAGGTAGTTCCTCACACAGACCTTTCTCATACTGCAGTCATCCATCCCTGGCTCCTGCCTACTTCATTGGACAACTCTACCCTTACACATTTCCAGCTGCCCACTGCTGACTTCTGCAGAGGGGGGCAGCCTCTTTAACAAACATGATTGCATTTACTCTTTACTCTAAAGACAGTGTCTCTACCATCAAGGAGATTACTGGCTAGAGGAGAAACCTACTACCAGGGCAGTCATGACACTGTAATATGTATTATACCCATGTTTATAAGAGAGTCATCTCTGTTGGTTAATTGAAAAGGTTGGTTCATGTAGAGAATTACACAAAAAGACACATACATAAAATTTTATTTTAAAACAACTGAATGTTTCCTTGACTTCTTTTTGGAGGAATTGGGGATTGCATTCAGGGCCTACTACTCTGTCACTTGAGCCATACCTCTAGCCCTTTGCTTTAATTATTTTTCTGGTAGGGTCTCATGTTTGTTGCTTGGGCTGTGTTCAGATGGCCCCCAATGCATCTGGGATTACAGACTTTCCACCATGCCCAGTTTGTTCTTTGAGATGGGGTCTTGGTAATTTTTTTGCCCAGGCTGGCCTGAAATCATGGTCCTGCTATATGCACCCAGCCTTTTTTTGTTTTTTCCTTATAATACAGAGCCAAATTCTGTATCTACTGGTTGGAGTTTCTACCATTTTTCCTTTAACATTCATACTACAGCTTCGGTGTTTTCCAGCCATTTGAAAAGTGGAGCAAAACCAAAAAGACCTATGTGAACCATTCTAAGTACAGAATCCTGAATTTGTTTATTTGTCCCCTAGTCTTTTATAGCCATCTCACCTGCACTTAATTTTATGGCCTTTTTATTTTAAACAACCTGTCTTATTGAATCTTTCCAAAAAGCATTCAGAATTTTAATAGGAGCCATGGATCCTTTTTGCTTTCATGTTTATTGGTTTGTGTAACATTTAATTCAGTTGATTAATTGTACTAATAAGTCCAACTGGTATCAGTAGGTAGCTGCCACCTACCAACTGTGAGTGTGCTGTGAGCATAGCTGGTACCTTAGAGGACGATTGCATTGTGTCTTTCTAACTTGTATTTGATAGAGCAGTTGAGGAACTTCTGTGCTTCCACTCTGTTACTGCCTTGTATCCTCAACCTGACTCTACCTCTGTCCATTTTTTTTCCCCTCCAACTTACTTCCAGTACTTCTGGATCATGTCTCTTCTTGGTTCTCTAGTCTCTCTGTTCCGTTGGACAGTTTCTCTACTTTTTTTTTTTTCAAGTCATCTCCATTTTGATCTTCTTTAAACTCATTATCCTGGTAATCATTTTACTCTATCCGTCTACTCATGTTGTTTCTTTGCTAAAGACTTCTCATTTTCAATGGAGAGGATCCCAACTCCATAATATGGCCAAGAAGGGCCTTCATAATACAGGATCGCATCCCTTTCATTTTCTTGTCCCTTCATTTAAAGATTTAGCCATACTGAATTCTTTGAATTTTTCAAAATGTATTGAAGTTCTTTACTTACAACCCCCTTTACCTTTTCTGCTTTGCTGTTCCTGTGCATGGGTCTTTATCCCACCCACACATGCCTTATCTGATTCTTACTTCCTCTCCCAGTGCTCTACCTGGCCAAAACAAGGAGATACTCCTTTTTTGTACCTGAGTATAGCACATATCACAATGTGTCATGATTTCCCTGTTTCTTAAGGTTTCTCCTTAAGAGTGGAGATATCTTTACACTTCTGTTCTTACTGCTATCCTGATTGGTGTGTGGTAGGGGCTCTGTAAATATTTTATGAAAATGAATGTTGAATAAATGAACTAGCAAAGAGAAGAGAATGAGAAAAAAGAGAGATTAAATGAATTAAATCCATTCTGACTTAATGATGATTTCAGTAATGGATTTAAAGAGTCTTTTTCTTAATGAAAAATCTTACTACCCTTTCCCTCACTGTCCTCTGAAGACAGTGTAAATATAGACTTTGTTTTCCTACTTATTTTTCTTTTTTTAATTTTACATATTGTTACTCTGTCACTTTTCTGTTTAATACAGCGTTTTATAAATATAAAGTGCAATAATCGAAGCATTATAATCTGTAAAAAATGAATGAAGGAGTTGGCTTTATTTTACAAAGAGAGATATTTATTCTTTTACACATTTTCTCTTTAAGCTGATAATTTATTCAGTTTGCTTAGAGATGAATGCCCTCCTGAAAAATCTGTTTTTGAAAAATTACAAGAAAATAACATGTTTAAGGATTTAATAGGTGAGACAAAGGAAAGGAAACTGTTGAAAGTTACTTTAAAGAATAAAACTGAGAATGAAGTGAGATAAAAGCAGTAAGACGTGAGACTTGGCAAGAGCAGAATAAACTTCAGAAATGAAGACTACAAACCTATGCCTTTATCGTTTATCCTTAGGTATTTCATCTTCACATCTTTCTGGGCGTATAAGATCTACTATGTCTATGGCTTCATGATGCTGGTGCTGGTCATCCTGTGCATTGTGACGGTCTGTGTGACCATTGTGTGCACGTACTTCCTGCTGAATGCAGAAGATTATAGGTGGTAAGTACTTACTTGTGGGCAGAACCTTTCAGGACCATATGTCATAACAAGATGGCCTTTGAAGTAAGAGCTCTGTAGAAATTTTGCTACTTAAGACAGTAGAGGGATTTTTTTTTTCCAGTTGTAAAATTAATGAAAAAAAATTTTTTTTGGTGGTACTGGGGCAAGGCCTACTACTTTCTAGGCAAGTGCTCTATCACTTGAGCCATTCCCCTAGTGCTTTTTTTTCTCCTTAGTTATTTTTTGGATATATTTTAGTTATTTTTTTTCCTGGGGGTGACCTCAGCCCATGATTCTCCTACCTATCCCTGCTGTGTAGCTGGAATTACAGGTGTGCACCACCATACCTGATTGGGATGGGGGTGGGTCTCACTAACTTTTGCCAGGGTTGGCTTTGAACTGTGATTTTATGGATCTCCACCTCCCGAGTCGGTGGGATCACAGGTATGTGCCATGTGTCCAGCCCAAAAATAATGAAAATTTTAGAGGAAAAACAGTGTCCGGCAAAAATTTTTTTGTGCTGTTATTTGAAATATTTTGTGAAGTACTTAATGTAGCGTTTTATGGGGAAGCATCTTTCCATTTTAAACACAAGGAGACTTTAAGTCTGAAAAAGAAAATGGTTTATTTCAGGTCACTTGTAATAGACAATGTGACAAAATTGAGGCTCTCTGCTACTAACATGTTCTCCTTTTTGATAGGTTTCTGTACTGGTACATACACTGCTTTTAAATAGCAGGATTTTAAGGGATGCTTTGTAAAATTCTTTGATTAAAATTTTTAGTTTCATTCATTCCAAAGAGGTATCTTTTTTTTTTTTCTTTTCTAGGCAGTGGACAAGCTTCCTCTCTGCTGCATCAACCGCAATCTATGTTTACATGTACTCCTTTTACTACTATTTTTTCAAAACAAAGTAAGTGGAGACATCTTTTTATTTAGGAAACTAAATCTGTCCTTTAAATAGTAACATTTAAGACCTTTTGTTGAAAGTAAAAAAATGTATATACTAAATATTTTGTTTAATTGCAGGATGTATGGCTTATTTCAAACATCATTTTACTTTGGATATATGGCGGTATTTAGCACAGCCTTGGGGATAATGTGTGGTAAGTTCTGAAATTCTTGGAAGGTCATGAGTAAATCTTGCTGACTGTCTCAGAATCAGAAAAATACAATATAAAGAAATTAAGAAATTTTGTACTGTTGCTTTATCAGGACCACCAAAATAAATTCAAGAGTCTGCTTTTAGTCCTTTTGACTCTCCCTCAAAACCTGATTTATCACCTTGTTAATTTCTGTTTTTTATAGAAATTCTAATAATTCTGTACAGGACAGAATTAATTCCATACTGAAGTTAGATTTTCATTTATGTTGAGAATGGACTGTTTTGTTCTGTTTTGAGATGGGGTCTTGCTATGTTGCCCAGACTAATTTCAAGCTACTGGCCTACAGTGATTCTTCTGTCTCAGCCTCCCAAGTATCTCGGCTTATACGCATGTGGCACTGAACCCAGCTGAAAACTGGCATTTTTAAAGCTTGAGTTCATTAGAAAAGATCCTAATGTAGGCAGGTGAAGGTGTTGCCTGATGGTTTCTATTTGGAAGCCTCTCAGGTAGTTGGTGGAGGTTCCAGTGTCTAGAAGGTGGCTCACTGTACTGCCTGGAGTATGTGCATTGGGTGTCTGCAGTCTGGCTTACATTGTGACTGCTGCATGCGTGCTTGGTGCTTTTTTTTTTTGGCGGTACTGGGGCTTCAACTCAGGACCTTCACTTTGAGCCACTTTATAAGCCCAATTTTTTTGTGGTAGGGTTTTTCGAGATAGGGTCTTGTTAACTATTTGCTCAGGCTGGCTTTGAACTGTGAGCCTCGTGATTTCTGCCTCCTGAGTAGGATTGTAGGCATGAGCCACTGGCACCCAGCCCATGCTTGGTACTTGATCAAGGCCATGTTTCCAAGCCTCTGTAAAGTGAGGATGTTGCTACTATTTGATGACCTTTCACAATCTCCCGCCAAAAGGAAGAGTTAATATTAGTAGTTCTTACCATACAACAGAGTCCCTAGAATGTGAGAAATAGCTAGGAAATACAGAACTTTCAGAAACAGTATGATAAATGAAAGGACCCAGACTTGAGAGCCAAAATGACCTGAACTGGATCATTATGCTGCCAGTCACCTTTTTTGTGGCCACAAAGGTCACACTAACTTCTAAGTCTCACTGTCATCTATAAAATGAACCTGTCTTCCAGAGTGTGTGGACTGCTATGAGGTGGTAAGAGGGAGCCAGTTACTTGGGAGAGACATGGCAAGGAATGGGGGTGAGTCAGCCCTGGGTTTGAATCCTCTTACCCTCACTTAATAGCTTCTTTTTCTCCACTTTTCTCACTGGCAAAATTGAAGTAAAATTGGCCTCATGGGGCTGTGCAGAGGGCTCAGCAGGTAAATATGGGTGAGTCTCGGGTTGGTGGCAGATGCTTAGTGAGTGCTGCTGCTGTTACCGGTGAGGTTTCCCTCCACTGTGGGAGGCACGTCAGAGCCGTTTCGTGACACCAAGTCCAGAAAAGGCAGAGGTACTTTAAGAGAAACTCAGTTCACTGTTGTATTCCAAAAATGAGACCAAGTTACCTCATAGAAGTAATGTAAGGCTTAAGGTCTAGTCAATATGGAAACATTTCTGGAGAGCAGATAATCCAGACTTTTTTTTTTTTTTTTTTTTTGGTTATTTACCATTGCACTACCACCCACTTATGGGGGGTTGAACCCATAGTCTTGCACATACGAGACAAACACTTTGCCACTGAGCTACACTCAGTGTATCCCGCTTTTGTGATAGTTCCACCTTTACTTACAGGTTGGGCAATGGAATAAAGAAGATATGATAATCTTATTAAAAGCTGGGTGGTGGTGCTGGTTTCACATTTACACACATTGTTTTTTTGGTGGGGGAGGGGTTACTGGGGTTTGAACAAAGGGCCTCATGCTTGCTAGGCAGGCATTCCACCATTTGAGCCACTCCACCAGTCCTGCACACATCTTTAAGGTGTCAAGATAGCTTTGTTCAGTTCGTGGGCACCCTATATGTGATCCTGTGTGTATGCACACACAAATGAGGTTGACTCTAAAGTGAAACTAATTCCACAAGCCATAAGGAAAGGCATTTCTCCTTTGTTTTAATCACATATTTTATTTATAGCTGCTAGGGTAATTATATTAGTTAAATAGTTTCCAACTTTGAGGGAAGAAAAAGGGGGTTGAAGGCTGAAATTAGAAGTGACACATGTGGAAACATCTTAGTAACCTCAGACAGTTAGTGGTTTTTTTAGTGTTTGACCACCCTTTCTTCAGACCATTTCTCACTGCCTCCTGTATCTGAGATCACTGGCCTTTAGCAAAGTATAAAATTATGTGATTATGCAAAGAGTAAAAACTTTCTGGATTTGTCTTTCTGTATGTGATCTTATGAAGACCCAGAAAAGTAATATCTTGACACTTTCAAGGAAAATGAAATGAGAGGGAGTGGAGGAAAAATGGAACTAATCTAGCTAAGTTTTTTGAGTATTTTTGTTGTTGAAATACCATCTTCTGCCTAAAAGTCTTGGCACATTCACAGTTCCCTGCCACAGCATTTATTTAATGGGTTTATCTGCTTTTGGAGCTAATATATTTGGAAGTGGGGTGAGGTAGAGAAACCAGACTGGAACTGATTAATATGTTATAATAAAAAATTATGCATAACCATCGATTTATGTTATTAAAATGTTAAAGTCAATAATTAAAAGAAGGTGTTGATTTTTTTTAATGTAGAAACATGAGTTTGAAATAGTGAGAAATAGAATATAGTTTTTGTATTGTGAATAGGGCATTTTTGTTTTAAGGAAATTAAGTGTATGTCTGTTACATTCCTAAGACATTTGCTTTTCTAGAGAGTATATTCAGTATCCTCTTATAAAGTCCTACTTTTACAAGTTTATTCTTGAGATACTCATAAAATCAGGAAATACGACTCTCTGGGTTGATAGTGTTTTGATTAAAGCACATCTTTGCTCAAAGGGAGCAATGTTTTGTAAATTTGAAAAATTGGGTTTGGTTATTGTACTAGTGCTAGTCTTATGCCAGTTAAGTTTTTGAGGATAATTAAAATTTTATAGATGTTTTTATGTTCTAAAAATCCAGGTTTTGTATAGCTATCCTTATTTCAACTAGCAAAAACCCTTGGTCCTTCCTATTATTGCTTATACTCTCTTCAACAAGATTAGAGATAAGGGCAAAATAGTTTATGCCAGGTAGCAGGGTTGCAGGGGGAGGAGGAGAAATGGCCCAAACATTGTATGCACATATGAATTAAAAAAACAAATCCAGGTTTGTTTTTATATAATTGAATGATTTTTTTTTCTTACCTTTGAAAGAGTTGTATTTTAACTATTTTAAACTATCTATATTTTATAACATAGTATCCTATGTCTAAGCTGGATGCCAGTGGCTCACACCTATAATCCTAGCTACTTGGGAGGCTGAGATCAGGAGAATCATAGTTCCAGGCCAGCCTGGGCAAATAGTTTGTAAGACCCCCCCATCTCTAAAATAACCAGAAAAAAGTGGACTAGAGGTGTGGCTCGAGTGGTAGTACTGACTTTCCAAGTGTGAAGACTTGTGTTCAAACCTAGTCTAAACAACAAAAAGAAATGTCTAATTAATTGCAAAATAATGGGAATAGGTTTGCTTTGTCATTTTGGTGGGCTTTTTTGTATTTTAATTTTAATTATGGGAAATTTTCAAATATGTACAAAAAAGAGGAACCAGTAGTATATATAGTGAGGCGCCATGTATCCAACATCCAATATCAGTAATTATCAACTCATGATCAATGTTGTTTTATTTATATTTCAATTTGTATCTCTTTTATTCTGACATTAATCTTAGCTCTTATGTCATTTAAGTTGTAAATATTTCAGTATATCCATCTCTAAAAGATAAGCATACTTCCTTACTATGATGAAATGTTCAGTTAGTATTCATATTACCTCACCTTTTGGCTACTTCTGTTTTAATACTGTTGTTTGTACAGCAAGATTCAGTTAAGGCCCATACATTGCTTGGTTAGAATGTCTTTTAGACTTTTCTAATCTACATTTTCTTTCACTATTTATTTTTAAAAACTTACTTTAATAAATTCCTATGTAGCTGGGCGTGGTGGCTCATGCCTATAATTCTGCCTGCTTGGGAAGCTGAGAACAGGAAGATTTCAGTTTAGAGACCAGCCCAGGAGAAAAAAGTAGTTGAGAGCCTGTCTCAAAAAGAAAAAAACAAAAGCAAAAAGGCTGGGGCATAACCAAGTGGTGAAGCTCTTGGCTAGCATGTATGAGGTCCTGGGTTCAATCCCCAGTACTGCCAAAACAAAAACAAAAGTACTGTTTAGTTTTCCATACTCTGGATTTGGCTGTTTATATCCATGAGGTGTATTTAATGTTTTTCATGTGCCCCTCCACATTTCCCATAAAGTAGAGCTATAGCCCTTGATCCATACTTAGTGCCAGTCCAGAATACTTAACCGATGCTTGTAAGCTTTTATCAGGCTTGTGTAGTGTCTTGTTCTCTCTGCGTGAGGTTAGCAGCCATTGATAATTACTGTCTAGCTTAAATAATTTATTAGTGGTTATAATATTCTAATTCTGTTGTTCCTTTTATATTTACTAGCCAGGATATTTTTATAAAGAGAATACCATTTGGTTACCTTGAGGTACAGTTTTTAGAAAGGAAAGGCAGAATACATGCTTTTTTTTTTTCCTTCCTGTCATTCACCAGTTGGGTGAATAAATGTTGGTTCAAAAGTGAACAGCTAGACATTTGTGTGTATCATTACTACCTCTAACTCATAGAAGATTGACATTTTAAACTTTTATGAATGTCATCCTAGGTTGTAAATTCCTGAGTCCAATAGAGAATTTTCTCTGACTGTTCAGTGACCAACTGTCTTGTTTTAAAGAACCCCAAGTATTTGTCAAAAAGAACTGTCTTGGTCATTTATCCATCCAATAAATATTTGCATACCTTTTCATATACTTAAATGTTTAGACATGGGAGGTAGATGCTTCATTAGCAACACAGATGTCCTTGCTTTCTTGAGTTTTGAGCCCTATTTGAGGTTTATTATTCAAAAATAACATTTCAAATCTCCTGAACTGTTTACATGTCTCTTTTGTTCATTCCCCCAAATAGTCATCCTTTCTTCCAACTACACAGCTTCTATAACTGAAACAAAAAAGTGACATGACACAGTGCCTCTTCTCCAGAGCTGCAGAAGCCATTGGGCCATGCTTCTCTGTTATTCCCTGAGCATACCCCTTCTCACTTCTTACTTATCATTGGGGTTTTGGAAATGTGTATTGATACTGCTTTAATGACTTAGAGTAATATATGGTCAAATCAAATAAGGTATATTTTTTCATTTAACAATATTTTGTCATTAATCAAATTCTTTTATAGTAGATATATTTTAATTTTGTAGTTACTGACTAAAGTAGTAATTGCATTTGATTCTAAAAAATACATCAGATCAGACTTAGTGTATGACTGCAACAGATGCTTTGCAAAGCAAATGATACAATTTTAATAAGTTTAGAAAGAATAACAGACATTATTCTGAGAAAAAGAATAACTTTTCAGAGCAGAGAGCATTTAGTGTTTGTAAATGACAGACAATGCTGTGTATGGATTTGTCTTAAAACATCTTATTTTATCTTTGCAGGAGCAATTGGTTACATGGGAACAAGTGCCTTTGTCCGAAAAATCTATACTAATGTGAAAATTGACTAGAGATCCAAGAAAACCTGGAACTTTCTCCTTCATAGTGGTGGAACTTGCACAGCAAAAAAACAAAACAAACAAATGCAAGAAGCGATTTGGGCTTAACATTGGGCACTTGGTGGGTCTCTCTTTTGTGGATGGCTTAAAGTAGCATCTATTTCCATTGATCCTAGGTTCTTACTGACTGCTTTCTCCAACTGTTCTCAGCAAATGCTTGGATTTTATGCAGTAGGCATTAACTACAGTACATGGCTAATCTTCCCAAAACTAGCTCATTAAAGATGAAATAGACCAGCTCTCTTCAGTGAAGAGGACAAATAGTTTATTTAAAGCATTTGTTCCAATAAAATAAGCAGAGGGAAACTTGGATGCTAAAATTACATAAGTAGAAATCTTCCTGGCACTTAGTATTTCTATGTTACTGAAAAAATGATGTTCCAGAGAGATTACTTTTTTTCCTTTTATTTTTACTGCCATTGTTGACCTATTGTGGGACATTTTTATATATTGAATCTGGGTTCTTTTTTGACATGTTTTTCATTGGTTTTTCCCCTCAATTTAACTGCATCCTTTTTTTAAAAAAAGAATTTAACATTATTAAATTCTGCATGTAATATATCTACTGTTGTCTTGTTGGACCAACTTCCCATTTATTTAAGATTATCCACTTACATCTTAATTACATCCAAAGAAGATACAGTCCGAAGACAGAGTTGTACTCTCTATAATGCAATTTATTGTATAGGTAGAAAGCAAAGTGTTAAATGGAGAAGATACTTGTTTTTATTAAACATTTTGAGATTTAGATAAACTACATTTTAACTGAATATCTAAAGTGATTATCTTTTTTTCCCCCCACGTTAGTCTTACATCTTTTTGGGGTTTGAATGAAGGCTTTACATAAGAAATTATTAAAAGCAGGGGAGGGTGGGTAATAAATGTATATAACATTAAATAATGTAACGTAGGTGTAGATTCCCAAATGCGTTTGGATGTACAGATTGACTGCGGAGTACTTTTTTCTGATGATAATTGGTGTAGAAATGTGTGAATTTGGGTGGCTTTTTACATCTTGCCTACCATTGCATGAAACATTGGGGTTTCTTCAAAATGTGTGTCATACTTCTTTTGGGCGGAGGGTTGTTTTCTTCTGTTTCTTTTCTGAGACTCCTACAGGAGCTAAATTTGTAATTTAGAAACATTTAATTTTGTTAATCCTGTCTGGGACACTTAAGTAACATCTAAAGCATTACCGCTTTAGAATGTTCAAATAAAATTTCCTGACCAAATTGTTTTGTGGAAATAGATGTGTTTGCAATTTGAAGATACCTGTTCAAAAGGCAGTATTACTGAATGCCAGGCTTTTTTTTAATATATACACACACACATACATACATACATACATACATACTATAAAATGTGCTTTTCAAATACAGAGGGACGTACACTCTAAAATGCCCATGCTTGGCTATGTCTAGATTATCCAGAACAGTCGTAAAATGAATGACAAGCCCTTTGAATGAAGTTGTGGCACAAAATCTGTTCAGGTTGGTATGATGTGGGGGTCAGGTGGTTATAGCTCTTTTATTGGGTGAACAAATAAAGGCTATAGTTCTTTAAAAGAAGAGGCTTTAATTTCGAATACATTTTTCTGGAACTATCCATAATGTGAAGTTTTTCTAGAACCATTGATTCTAGTTCAATAGTTTGCTATGCAAATGACCACCTGAAACAATATTGTACATTGGTGTTTTAGAAAGACTCAAATCACCTGTATTAAACCTTAGTGTAAAACTCATGCAGGTAATAGTTACATAAGATGTTTTCATTATAAAATATGTTTCTATAAACTGATGGATTCCGTATCCTATACTGTGGCATGGAAGGCCTATGAAGAGTGAAAATTTGATTTCTTCCCATTTAAGTATGGTTGATAAGAGCAAACAAATTTGCATAGAAGCTATCTGTAGATTATCTTCAACCCAGAGTACACTGGATTGTCCATTTTTCTCTTCACACCTGCCTTTATGATCTTAAAAAAACCCAAAAGTCACTAATTCCTTATATCACATAACTTTTTAACACATAGTCTATCTGATGGAGTATAAATTGAATAACAAACTTTATCTTAGTAAAATGCAACTGGTTTTTCATAATAATCTTGCAGATAAGATGAAGGTCTTAAAGAATGTGGTTTAGCTGTTCCAGGTGTACCAGTTCTTTCTGAGTTGAAGAAGTTCTTTGGAATCTGTAGTAAAAAGTAACTTTCTGACTTTCAAATACATTAAGAACATTCAAATTAATATAAATCACCTGGAAAAGCCCTTTACAAAAGGACTTATGTATGGGCATGGTGGCTCATGCCTGTAATCCCAGATATGCAGGAAGCAGAGATAAGGAGGATCACATTTGAGGCCAGTTATGCCAAAAAAGTTAATTAGACTTGATCTGGAAGCACAAGCTGGGTGTGATGGTACATGCCTGTTACCACAGCTATGAGAGAGGTGTAGGTAGGAAGATCACAGAAGCATGAGATCCTATCTGAAAAATAACTAAAGTGAAAAGAACTAGGGGTGTGGCTCCAGTGCAAGGCTCTGAGTTAAAACTGAAAATTAAAAACAGGATTTATGTTGGTTTCTGACTTCATAGACTAAATACATGTGTGACTTGACGAAGATAGAGTTCACAATGGCTTAGCTCCCTAGCTCTCAGTTGTAGAAGAATACAGTAGAATATTATGTAATTGAAGGGTTGGGTTTTTTTGCTCCATTAGTGCTGTGCATATCATTCATTTGCTAGCATTATTTGCTCAGCTCATCAACTAACATTTCAGACACTCTGAGAAGCAAAGCATACACTTTCTCTGTATCTTTAAGCATGCATCCCCTGAAATTTAACTGCTTTAGAAGTATCTCCTGGTACAAGAGTAGGATAAAATAGAAATGTAATGGCTGAAGGGAATGTAAAGCATTCTTTAGTTATCATGTCGAACTCCTAGGTTATACTGAGTTTGCCCACGAATCAAGTCCCGTACTCTTAGAATTCATTATTAAATTTGGGTCACATCTGAACCTAGTGAATGGTATGCTTGGATGTTTTCCACTGAGAGTGGACAGACCCCTTTATAAAGGTGGTTGCTGCAAATTCCAATTCTTCCAAAAGCCACTTTATTTAGGGTTTATCCACAAATTGTGTTCATTTTGATACAGTTTTTGTTTCTTAAATGTTTATTAACCACCTATGCCAAATGTCTTGCAAATAGCTTTTAAACTTCTGGATTTTTACAAGTGTAAAAAAGAAAAAGTTGTATTAATGTAATTTGTTCAGGAAAAGCTACATACCGAAGGGCTTCTGTATATGAATTCTAGGGGAAAAGCCTATTTGTAAAAATGTACACACTGCAGTTCCTTCTGGGTTTTAAGTAGATTTCATTTTGTCTTACTGCTTCATTCTATTGATTTATTGGAACATGTAATAAGTAGGAGTAGTAATGTATGAAAACACATACTCATGTTTTATATTTTCTTGTAAAATTGTAGTTATGAAGCTAATTTTAGCAATCAAGGTGTTAAAGAGATCAAAGATGTGGAAATTTAGTGAGATTGGAAGAGTGTACAGAAATAGACTAGCTTTGACAGGGTAGAACAGAAAAGTAACAGATACTTTTGTAAGATTTAAATTCAGTATGAGGAATAACTAGTTCTCTCCTGTAAGCATTTCCTAAAAGGCATCTGAATTGAGTTGCTTTTATTGGCACTGTAGATAAGAATGTGCAAAGGCAAAAATAAAGTCAATTCTTAATCCACTGTTAGGAAATGGAAACAAATTGCTATGAAAGCTGCTTATAACAGCACTGGTGAGCTGGGCTTGTGATAACTGACTAGCAGAGTGGTATACATTCATCCCACTCATCTGGTTGGGTCATTTGAAAGTTACAAAGGTTATAAGCCATAGCTTAAGGCAAGGAAGAAAAGATACAGAGTTTTATTTGAAGGACAACAGAACATTCTTGGAAAAGCAGTCCAATTTGGGTTTTTCATCTGCGTTAAACTTGAACCTACAAATCCCCAGAATGCATGGACAATCAACAAGAATTGGAAGGAAATAATGATTGCCCAATGATCACTCCATTTTGTATGCACCCTTGGTTTGTTTAGGCCATATTCCAACTGGCTTTTTAGTAATAGACATCCAGTATATAATGTATCAAATAAAATTGAGGTTCAAATCTAGTCTGTTAATTTATCTGAAGTTGGATTTTTAAAAAGTAATAAAAAGTTAAATATACTTCCCTTGGATGCTTTGTTTCTTTCCTTTGTGGAACACATGGACGAAGTGTAAGGGTAACCTATTGTTACTGATACGCATGCAAAGAACTTACAAATAGCTTTCCAAGGTAAGTAAAGCAGGGGTCCGCACTCATCAAGGGCCAGTAATAAATAAATCAGGCATTGAGGATCAGATAACCTCTGTCACTACTCTGGTGTTGTAGCACAAAGCAGCCATGGTAGACAGAAAATAAACTAATGAGCATGGCTGTGTTCCACTTTAAGTACACAGGCAACCAGCGGGCCATAGTTAACGGACCCCTGAAATGAAGGATTTAAATTAAGGTTTGGTTCCCTCAATTTATATTTTGAAAAAAAATATATAGAAAAAGTTGGAAGAATGGTAAAATGAATAGGGCTTGTCTTTTCAAATGATTTTTTTCTCTCAATTTTCATTCTACACACAAGCACCAACCACCCCATTCCTGTGATTCCCCTCATTGATAAATAATACATTGCCTTTGTCTAGTATGTTCTACTTTTTTTCAGTTTCACATATGTTCCCTCACAGTAATCCTATGAAGCTAGAAGAGTAGATAAACTAAGGTAGCTAAAAGGGCTCTTCTTAGCCCAGAAGTCAAGATTAGGGCCCTGTCATCTTGATGGTTGTCACTGTCACCTCTTCAGCCTGGAACAGATGATTCATGGGATAGTGTAGAGCACTGTCAAATGAAAGGGATTGTTTTTATTGTACTACATTGAAATTTGGTTAATTTCTCAGATCTACTTACACTTTGTGGTTTTCATTTCCACTTTTAGCTTCTTTTCAAGGATCCTTATCAACTTCCTTGGGTCTTTCCCCGCCACCCCCCCACACCATATTTTTAGCTTCCTCACTCAACACCTGTAATTGGCAGTTCCTATTAGCCAGATAGTTGAAGTTAGTAGAAATTTGGATTACTTCTTACGTCTTTAATTAATACTTTCTGTCTGGTTGGAAAACTAAGGCTAGAAGAAAGTTTGCTATGTGACCCAGCTTCACAGTTTCAAAGTGAGAATTAGTAAAGTTAATGTACAATATAACAGCAGGAGAGAACAGGCCTACATTCGAATGTGGAGTCAGTGTTAATGCTGCCTACAAATGTACTTAAACTATTTTGATTATTTTTAAAAAAGTTTAACATGAGTTTCACATGGAAAGAAAGAGACGGTTGTAGGGAGAAATTGATGTCATTTTAACTGGCCAATGTTAACGGTTACTAGCAGCGGCTCAGGCTAAGCGACTCCAGTTGCAGGACTGATCCTGAAGGTCAGAGAAGGGAAGCAGGTGTATGTGTAGGTAGAGACAGAAGGCAATTCCAAGTTGGGGTTGGTCAGAGTAGTCTGCTGTAGTTAAGAGACCAGTAGCTACAGCAGGGCAGACTTGAACAGCAAATGTCATAGATGTGTCTTAGCAGCTGCTATAAAAGGCACTGGCATGAGGATGCAGGTCTGTGGCTATCAAAGTGTCCTGGCAAAGGGATGGAGGAGTGAAGCAGCAAGGCCATTAGGATGACTGCAGGTGTTTAATGCAAGGAGAATGGGGTGTGGGAGGGGGCAAGAGCCAATGCTAGAAAGGCGAAAGGAAGGCCTGATGTGACACCTGGAGAACCTGGGGTATAAGGGTTCGGGTTCGAGAGCCATAAAAGGTTTTAAGCAGCTGCTGAAAATTGTAACTATCATCATCTCCAAAGAAGGCAAAGTACTGTCTAAGTGGTCAGCAAGGAAGGAATGAGACAGAAGAGAATACCCACGTTTTTCTGGAGATTCTGCTCCTTGCCCTGGAGGAAATTTTGATGGTAGACAGTGGCCTGGAGAGATGATATGAGAAAGTGGCCTAGGTGGGATAAAGGAGAATAAAATTTAGTGGACACGAAGGGGTCTGAGAACTGCTGGAGGAGGAGTACCTGGTGGCTCTGGCTACAGATGCAACAGGCTGGGCAGGAATTCATGGGACCCAGAGAAACAAGGAAACCCACTAAAATTAGGAAAGTAAAATGGAGCTATGTTGAGCAGCCTTTTGTTGTAAATTTACCTCCAGGTTTTTTTTTTTCATATATTTTAGATTTAAAATATATTTCAAAACTATTTGAACCCAAGTTTACTATAAGTGGTGAGTGAAATTAGGAGCTATAGAACTGATGGGAAAAACACTGAGCATCCCTGTTGAGTTTTTCTCATCCAACCTTTCTAACAACCTGAGTAATTTGTTGCTATCTTTTGGTTGATGGCCAGAGCAGCATCTGGACAAGCTCTGTCATAAAGCTGGACAGCTCGCTCAGCAGAGACACCAGTCTTCGGAATTTGGACAAAGGGTATTGATGAAAAGTCCTGGCAGTTAACCACCAGGTGGAGAGCAGAGGCAATAAAAGCTCACAACCTCAGTGCATGTATAAGAGGTGGCTTCTAATGTCTGTTTTCTAGAGTAATTCTGCTAATGAGGAAGCCACTTGGCTGTTTGCCTAGTGCCATCTGGAGACTTAGAAGTGTCACAGAAGTTTGTTAGGCCTTTTAGATGTTGACTTTGTGAACTTGTCTACTGACAGGTGGTGACCTTCACTGGGGTTAATGCAGAGAACTATGGCGTTGGGTTTGACTCCTTCCATCATGCTGGCAGAAATGCTGTTTAACCTCTTTCCACACCTATTGCCTATTTAGTGGCCACTTGGCCTTCACGACCATTTGGTGGCATCCATTCCTCCCAAGTTTCCCCCATCACTTGCCAGTTTCTAACCAGATGTTGCCCAATCTGGCTCTGTCCTGAATGTGCCCATTAGATGAAAGTTCACATAACACAAGGCAGGGTCAACACTGCATTTCTTTGTAAGAACCAGGATGAAATACTCAGTAGCACCCTTCCAGTAGTTATCTTCTTTCCTTGTTTCCTTTCCTGGTTTGAAGAGATTATTCTAGGTGAACAGAATGTTAAGAAATCCAGTACAGTGTAAAGCCTAGCTGTGAGCCTCCTGTTAACTATTTTGTCATTAGCAGCTGTGAAACCATGTGGAAACAAACCAAGAAGGGAAGTTCACTCCATTTTTCCTTTGCAGTTTAATTTTGAAAAAAAGATTCTACTTGATGTAATACTAAAAATCTCTGCACATACACATTCGTGTGTGATACTTCTATGATTAGGGCAATTTTGGTTGCATAAAAAGATCTTTGAAAAAACTCATAGTAATATGTTTCTAAATCAAAGTAGCTTAATTCTGACAATTTTTATATTCAAGGTACATCACAGAAATGAGTTTCAAGTAGCTTTTGTTCCTTTAAATTATTTGGGCCTATCTTTTCATTGGCAAAAAATATAGTTATTTTCAATTCAGAAATTGACCATTTTTATTACATCAGGTTAATGGTGAGGGACGAGGGACTTGTTTACTAAGATATGTCTGTGATTTTTAAAAAGCACTATATGGCTATTCAGTCATCTTGTAGGAAGTATCTTAGACTTTTAATAAAGGATAGGGTCACCTAGGGGGAAAATCTGTCATCTTCAATCTGCCACACATATCAGCCACTACATTGGGTTAGGTGGGTGCTGCAGCAAGTGCCCTTCATGGTTGGCAGAGGGGATAGCGAGAGAGCCTGAGCGAATCGTAGCCCTCGATTTTTTCCTACTCTGAGAGGTACCTGAGAGACATTCGCTTCATCGCTGCAAATGTCCAAATGCACACAGCGAGTTGGTGGCGACGTGGACCGCTGCTTGTCCTGCTCCTGCCTCGGTCCACGTGTGCATTGCGAGTTGTAAAGTGATTTGTGGCAATAAAACAAAGCGGGAAGCCCACTCTCAGTCTTCGGCAGCATCGTTCTGGAGGTGGGAGGTCGACGTGGCTCCGGGATAGTGTGCCTTGGGTTGGGCACCCAGAAGATGCCTTGAGCATCTTCACCTCGCTCCCCTGCCTCCAAAGTTGCGGAGGTGCCGGGAGGAGGAGGGGCCTCGCCTCGGGCGCCCGACTGATTGGCTGTCCGGGGCCCTTGGAGAGGGCTGTGTGGTCCAGCCCTGGTGGAGAGGGGCGGAGCGGCCACTGCTCCAACCACCGCCGCCACCGCCACAGTCGCAGCAGCCGCAGCCTCGGCCGCCCGGCAAGTCGCTCGGAGCGGCCGCTTCTCCGGTGCCTCGACGCGGACAGGGGGCGCCGCGCTCTACTCCTCCGCGCGGGAGCCATGCCCGGCAGCCGCGCGTAACCGCCGAGCACCGGCCGCTGGGATCCGACCCTGTGCACCGTCCCTCGCCCGAGCGAAGCATTCTGTGCCTACTAGTCCCTCTCACCCCGCGCCACCATGGCCCAGGCTCCTATGCTTGGGGTCCTGGTGTCACTGCTGCTGCCGCCCCTGCTGCTGCAGCTGGCTCGCGGCGCCGGGGGGTTCGGGGAGCGCTCGGATGCCGCCTTGGACTACTGGGCTCTGGAAGGCGAGGAGGGCGCGGAGCAGCAGCTGGAGCATTACCACGACCCGTGCAAAGCCGGTAGGTGACGCCGCCTCCGGGGCAGTCCGGCAGAAGTTTGCCTTTGAAATGCAAATGAGTGGTGGGCAAGCCAGCGTTGCAGTCGGTGGGGTGGGTCTCCCCTCTCTCCCCTCCGCTAAGATGCCACAGCTCCCCGGGAAAACAATGCCCCCCGAGGAACTGCTTCAATACCACTCAGAGCCTGGGACGCCTGGGTCCCAGGTTTGCGGCGCGCAACGGGTGGCAGCCTCGGAAATGTTCCCAGAGGTGATCGGGGTGGGTGCCCGGCCGAAGGGGCGCTCAGGAGCCACGGCCGGCTCCAGGGCCGCTTGTCAGCAAGGCGATCAGCACCGGTCACCACCGAATGCTCTGGACTAGAGCAGAGGAGCCGGGCTGGGCGCGGCGCTCCCAGGTTCAGATGGAGTCGCTGGCTCCGATTTCACAGCATTTTTAAGTTTCGCTCAAAGTTTCCC